TCTGCAAGAAAACCACCCAGCTCAGGGAGCACCAAGGACCCCACAGTCCTCCTCCTCCTCCTCTTCCTCCTCCTCTCCGTTTCTCCACAAACTCCTCTCCCTTCTAGCACTGATGATGTTACCTAGTCGGGTAATGAAACGTCTGCAAGAAAACAAGCAAGCTCAGAGACCCCAAGCTACAAATATTCTATTCAAACTCTTCATACGGTAAGAAAAAGCCACCATCCAGCCCCACGAAAGTCCTCAACAACTTCTAACCTTTGTTTCGCATTAGAATTGGAAACGGGGGTTTTTTTTTTTCTTTCCATCAATTAACACAGCATATCGGATATTATTCCAAAGGCTTTTTCAGTCAGCCCGGTTATGCTGGACCGGAGCCGTAAAACGCACAACGAGCTGAGCTGAGCTGCAAATTGTGATTCAGCAAAAGTGGCCGACGGAAAGAATCTTATGGAAGAGAGACGCCGGCATTTTGGAAAATGCAGGGTTTGGGGAAATACAATGCGCTCTTTTTACGAGAGGCTCTTCCTCGAAAGCGTGCATTTATTACATAGTTATCTCTCGGCCATTCAGCAAAGCAAGTCGCTAAGTGAAACCGGGACTGTGCTCGCAAATCTTACTGCAGGTTTCCTTCGCTTTGCAAAACCCGCAAAGGTTGTAAAGGTTGAGTTGTCCACTTACAAGGAGCAACGTTGCCTCTAGAAGTTGCGAATGCTCCAACACTGGAAGTTTTTCAGAAGAGACTGAATAACCCTTTGTCTGAAATGGTGTAGGATTCCTCCCTGCTTAGGCGGGGGGGGGGGGGTCGGACTAGATGACCTCCAAGGTCCCTTCCGACTCTTGTTATTCTATTCTGTACTTTTTTCATCCCTGTGGTAACCGCAAAGGCTCAATAAACGAGGCAGTCACTAAACGAGGACTACAGTGGTGGAATGCTACCGGTTTGGCACAGCTCGTCCGAACCACTAGTTAAAAAAAAAAAGGGGGCCTCCCACGATCAGCTGAGGGGAGAAAGAGGAGAAGTGGGGAAAGCTGTGCGCGCACATTAGGCGCGCATGCATTAGGTTGTGTGTGCAAGGGTGGGATTCAAATTTCTTAACAAGTGGTTCTGTGGGTGTGGCCTAATTTGTGGGTGGTGGCTTGGTGGTCACATGACTGGCTGGGCGTGGCTTGGTTGTAAATATTGTAAATATTTATGTACATATTGGAATTTTTTATTTTTTTAAAAAAGCAGCTTTTACCCAAAATCAGGCAAAGCAGGCAGGCAGATTGAGTTGCTCCCAGAATCACAGATTCACTCAGAGATCTACCATTCTGCAATCCGCTGCCTGAGTCTGTCATATAAAATTTGCTTGCGAGGAAACACATAAAATTTACTAGCAAGCAAACTCAGAAAATTAACTCACAACACACCATTATGTAAATATTGATTTTTTTATATATATATAAAAAAGAGCAACTTTTACCCAAAATCAGGCAAAGCAGGCGGGCAGATTGAGTTGCTCACAGAATCACAGATTCACTTAGAGATCTATCTATCTACAATCTGCTACCTGAGCCTGCACTGGAAAGTAGAAGCTTCGGTCCTAAGGAAGATTCGGCTCTGCTTTTAGATTAGCTAAAAAGCAAGAAATTTCCTGCTTTCTAGCTAATCTAAATCTCCCAGCACAGCTGATAGATCACCAAACTGGTAGTAGAACAAGTAGTATCTCACTGCCGGAGGAGTACCTTTCCAAGTTAAGCCTTAGTGCGAATTTCCCCTTTCTGTTTTGTAACTTGCTAACCGTTGCTTTTCCCCCACCCAAGATTGCATTCTAACCACTGCTCCACCACGACTCTTGGAGCAAAAGTCGCTTCCATATGTCATATGGCCATATGTCGGCTACCTGTATTCCAAACAAAAGGCCCGGTCCGAGTTTTAAGTCGGAGGGAGCGAAGGGAGGATCACCCACCAACCTGCGTAGACGAAAGAGGTGATTAGCAAAGCGACCAGGTGGATTTTCATTGTGGGGCTGATGGCCTGAAACTGGAGTAAAGTCAGGTGTAGCAGGAAAGAGAAGAGGAACTCCAGGCCGAAGGCGTTGCTGATGGTGGTTTGAATGGGGTCGCTGCAAAGGTCGGGCAGGGCCCTCGAATGGCCGGAGGTGAAACCCAACATCCAGATTAATTTCATGCACAGGTGAGCCAAGATGGCCGCCGCGAACTGCGCCAACGTCTGCAAGCACCACGCGTGGAACCTCAGCTGCCCTTTGTACAAGTGCTGGATGCTGCTGGCCGGGTTGCCCACGCTGCCCGCTAACGTCCAGCCGTGGAGGACGGTGAAAATGTAAGTGAGCCAAAGGGCGACCTGAGGGCGGGGAAGCCAGCTGCCCAGCAGGCAAAGTTCGTGGGTGCAGGCGCAGATCTGGAAGGTGGCGGTCAACTCCTGGGCGAAATTGAACCAGTTGGTGGTCCGTCGTAGCTCCCGGTAAGCCAGCTGTCTGCAGGCGCCCACCAGAAGGATGATGCCTGCCATGACAATCAGGGAAATCAAAGCATCGTTGGTGTCCATGGCTGCGGGGGCTGGGGGGGGTCAAAGGAAGGGGGGAAAAAAAGAAGAAGGCTGATACAGGAAGTCTTCGAATTACAAGCGTCCATTTGCAGATTACAGATTACAAGAGTTGGAAAGGGACCTTGTAGGTCATCTAGCCCAACCCCCTCCTCCCGCCCAAGCAGGAGACCTACCTACAACCATAACCGTTTAGTGACGCTTGCAGCGTCCCCGCGAGCCTCTTCTGACAAGCAGAGTCAACGGGGAAACTGGATTAGCTTAACAGCTGCGTTGCAAGTAGTCCTTGACTTACAACAGTCTCGTTTAGTGACCGTTCTGAGCTACAACGGCCCCGGAGGGGAAAAAAAAAAGGGGCGTAGGATCGCTTTTTTTCACGCTTACGGCCGTTTGCAGCATTCCCTGTGGTCACGTGGTAAAAATTCAGACCCTCTGCAACCGGCTCATATTTACAACGGTCGCTGTGTCCCCCGGGGGGGGGTGTCACATGATTTTTTTTGCAACCTTCTGACAAGCAAAGTTGAAGGGTAAGCCCGATTCGCTTAACAATGGTGTGACCAACTTAACAACTGCAGCGATTCACTTAACAACAGTGGCAAGAAAAGTCATAAAATGTGGCCAAATGGGTCCCCTTAACAAATGTTTCATTTAGCAACATATATTTTGGGCTCCGTTGCGGTCATAACTCGAGGACTACCTGTGCGGTGAATCTTCGCCTTACAACTTATTGACCCTTCCAAGTTACAACGGCACTGACAAAAGTGACTCTTTTTTTTTCAAACTTACGACCCTTTGCATCCTCCTCCTGGCCACATGGCCAAAATTCAGACTGAGTAGATTTAATAAAAAGTTGATGTTGTAATGTTATTATCTTGTATTTTGCCAAAGAGAGTGGGAGGTCAACACCTTTAATTCTGTTTCCCTTTCCACACCACATTTTATCTTTTTCTCTTGTTTCTTTTCCCCTTATTTTTCCATTTCTTTGGATTCTCCTCTGCATCTTGTACTAGCTCGATCCTCGTGCTTTGCTACAAAACTACGTGGTGGGGCTTAGTTTTGGGGGAGGAAAATAAGGGGGGAAAATTCTGCCTCTGCCTACCAGCACCCAACGGTATTCATCTGGCTTGCATCCTGTCAGTGTGTGAGAGAGTCGAGGGCCGTTTGGAAATTGAAACAGTATTTGCTGTGTGTGAGCAAGGAGGAGACAGCAAGGAGCCCTGGGCGTGGCTTAGCTCAACTGTTCTGTACTAAAGCTGCTCTGAAACTGAAACTGAAACTCTGCTTGTGATTTGCATTTGGAAGAGATTTCTTTCCAGGTGGGGAGGGGGAGACAAACTCCTTAGCATCAGAGTGTGTTAATAATAATAATAATAATAATAATAATAATAATAATAATAATAATAATACAGGAAATACTATAAATGCTCTGATGGTGGGGAGGGGGAGGGGCTCTATTGTGGTCATAAGTCGAGGACTACCTTTATCCTCGACTCTAAAGCTTGCTGAGGGCTGTCAATCCTCTCTTCTCTGGGCTGCTTCCCTGTTGGTCATCGCAAGCTGCATGCTCAGCTCAGCCTCCGGGGACCGAGTTCAAAACCCGTTCTAACTAGGGTGGGAGGGGCCCACTCTCTCCTCTTTCCTTGCCCCCCCCACCCAAAAGGAAAGGAGGCCACCAGGAGAAGCTCAGCTTAGCAAAACCTGTGTGTGTGGGGGGGGGGAAAGTCTTGCCCCCCTTCCACCCAAAAGGAAAGGAGGCCACGAGGAGAGGCTCTGCTCTGCAAAAGCTACGAGGGGAGAGGAAGTCCTTGCCCCCCACCCCTCCCGCCCAAAAGGAAAGGAGGCCACCAGGAGAGGCTCAGCTCTGCAAAAGC